GCTTTTCATTTAAGAAAATAAATAGCTACTTTAGTTTACTTCCAAATAGTTATCAGCAAATTAAACCAGAATTAATGCATCAGCTTATGCAAGACTCTATGGATAATGACCTAATTAATCAATTGGATACTGCGAGATCTTTTTGCTCTAGTGAATATGAGAAAGAAGGTATAGTCTAAGTGTTTGAAATTTGCTTGAATTGTTGAAGAAATACTGTTGTGTATCAATTTAGTTTTAAATTTGTATTGTATAAATTCTTATATTCCTGTACTAGTCTGCATATTGTTAATTAATTTATCATAATGCTATATAGTATTGTTATATGGTGAGATATTTCTTTATTAAGTTCTGTATATATATGTTCTAGCTATTTTTGAGTAGAATCTTCATCAAACAACATTTGATTTTTAGTAAGGTTTTGTTTTACAGCTTGGCTATAGATAAGTATATTTGGAGTATCATAGTTTGCAAAAATTATTAAGGCTGAGTCAGTTGCAATTTTATTTTGTGGCTTTTGTATTGTATTGGAGTTAGGTGTTGCTAGCATATTTACTGTTTTAAGGTTGTTGTTCTGGGGTGTTTGTATATTATTTTTGTTATTTTGGGTCATGTGTTGTTTTTTTCTACATAATGGTTTAGACATTGTCAAAACCTGTTTGTGTTACTTGGTTGTTGTTGTTGTTGATCAATGATAATATCATTATGTTTTATAATAGGAGTAAGCTAGATTGCTTACTTTTTGTATTAGGAAGTAGTCTTGAAAAAAGCATTTACTATTTTTTAACATTTGTGTTTGTGTAGATGGAGTCAAATTTAATTTGTATTTTTTCTTTTCTTTGTTGTTGCTAGTATTGTTGTTGTTGCCTATTTGAAGTTATGATTGTATGTTTAAAGTAAATAGAGCCCAAGGACATTGTATTTTTCTTGTTATTGTATATTGTGTAGATGTTGCTACTCTTTTTTTACTTTATGTTTGCTGTTTGTTATGTATGCTTTGTATTGTGTCTAGGTTTTTTAGAGCAGTCTGTATTTTATTTATTTATTTAATTATGGTTTTAATATTTTTTGGATTGTTGTTTTATTTCTTATTCAAAATAATCTATATATATATAAATTTTGAAAATTAACATAAAATTATAAATAACTTCTGATATATTAGTCTATTTTAAATGATTTTTTTATCATATTAACTGCTTTTAAGAGATGATATCAATAAGGTCAAAACTACTAAAATTTAATAATAAAATCACAAGATTATTAGGATTTTCATATTACTTTTAATAGAAATTGGCTAGTATTTAACTAATATTTTATTAAAAATAATATAAAAATCTAAATGATTTCACAATTCTATGATTAAATTTTAATGATTTTGGGCTTGTTGAACTCCTTTTTTCAAGGTAGTTATTTTGGTAGTAAAATTATTAAAAATATACTAATTTATTAAAAGTTATTTACAATTTTGTATAAATTTTAAATTTGGCTTATTTTGGTTAAATAATAATATCTCATAAATTATTAGTTAAAAATATATGATTTTAGTACTATTCAATTTATCTTGATAGACAAATTGAATATATCAAAAGCATATAATCTAATTAATAGTTTACAAGATATTATTAGTATGTCAAATTAGATATATTATCAAATTAGAAATATATTTTTTAAATAAAGTTTAATTATTAAGATCTTATAATTTAGTAATCAGAATCAAATAATTTTGTTTCTATTTGATTTGTCTTAATGAGATGAATTGAATAGTATCAAATTTATTCAATTCTGATTGATAAATAATATGATATTTATCATAAAATCTAACTGTAATAAATTAGGCATATCTACCTTATATAATATTTTAAAGAACAAAAATTCAACAAATGAACTAATAATAATTCTTTAGAACTATATTTTAAAATCAAAGAATTATTAGTAAAATAGGAGTAGTGTAATTTAGCTAAAAATGAATTAAACCTTTATTTTAACAGTAGCAGAGAAAAACTATAACTCAAATTGCTAAAAAAGTTTTCCTTCTTTTTAATACTTGCAGTCAAAATACTATTTAAACTATCTCAGATCTTAATATCAGCATCTTTCATACATGTCTGATAAAACTTTAATAAAGTTTACTAGTTAAAGCTAAATAATTAAAAAATGAGAAAATAACTTTATTTGATTTATAGAAGCTCATTTTTCAAAGTGGATGATGTTATATCTAAAATGAAAATTCAATAAAATTTCTAATATTCTTATTTGTTTCTTTAATATTGTAGTCTATAATATATAAATGATAAGCCACATCAATTAAGAGTTCTAATTGGATTTATTGATAGTTTTGAAAAATTAGAATAGAATAATAACCAGTAAAAGAGTTAATATTAAAAGTTAATAATTAATGTATAAAAGTTAAAAACTAATAGATACAGAGTTAGAAACTACCAAATAAAAGTTTTGAACTATCTAAGTAACAAAAATTGTATATAAGAAATGCTTTCTTGAGCAAAAATAAAGATGTAGAACTTCTTTAGATATGAAATAGCTCTCTTTTTAATGATTTTAGTAGTAATATATCTAAAAAATAACCATAGTATAGGGTTAATTTTAGTTAGTATTATTAATACTATTATATTTTTCTATATTTACTTATCTTAATAAAATCTAAATTAAGTATATATTAAATATTGTTTTCTTCTAAAAAGTTGTTGAACCCTTTTTATAAATATAAATTACTTCTAATAATATAATAATAAATAAACATTAGTAATAAATTCTAATCTCAATTCTATAAATTCATGCATATACTTATCTTAAAATTTTGTTAACTATCATTAGACCATTGATACAAACAAATCATTTATATTCAATAAATAGCTGCATGATATAGTCATGCTAAACTAGAAACAAATTCATATATTTTAAATATAGAAGATAAAGAAAAAACTTGTAAGTAAAATTTTATTTATTAATTATTATGCCAATTTTAATTGTATTGTTTATGTAATAAATAGTTATTTGTCATGCTTTATGAATAGTTACACCCAAGTGTCAAATTATTAAGGTTGGCATAATGATTAATGAATAAAATTTTACTTAAATTATAAATATTTATATGTCAGTATTGTTAATTCTGTAATTGTATAGTTTTAAATAAGATTTAATTTAGTGAAAACCTGTTTAGGCAAACTAGCCTTCAAATAATAGTAAGAATGTGCATTACTATTAATAATTTATTCTTTTGTAATTTTTATAATAAATATTAAATTTGTTACTATATCCTTTAAACTTTTTAGAATTTAGGACAAATTTGCTCTAAATTTTATTATAAAAATACTTCTGATTTATTTTTTTAAAAATTGATATATTTAAATAAATTTTTTTTGATAAGATTTGGAAATAAAGATTATATTTTTTTTAAATTTATATTTAAATTATAAAACAAAGAATTTAACTTACTTATAAGCCAAAAATATATAAATTTTAAAAAAATTTTAACTAAAAAAATAATTTATAAATTTTTTGATAAACTCTTTAAATATTAATTTTAGAATATTTATAACTATAACTGGTTGTAATGATCACTGGTATATAAGCTAATAAATTTGCAAAATTAGGTGTAATGCATAAATTATTTTGTGTACTAAAAATAAAAATTTTTTTAAAAAAATGTCAATATCTCAAGAATTTGTTTATGAAACTATTTTCAATGTTCTAACAAAAAAATTTCTTGCTAAATTTTATATATATTTAATACCTTACTAAAATTTCATACCTTACCTTAACTCTAAAGTAATAAAATAAAATCTTTTTTTAGTTTATTATTATTAGCTAATTATACACTGGTGATAATTACTACCAGTTATTCTAAGTTATTTACTTAATTTTAAATCTATAATTTCTTAATAGAAATTATAATTTAAATAAAGAAATACAACTTTTATTATTGTAATTTTACGATTTATTTGTAAAAAATAAGACTTGTATTAGAAGTAAAAAAAATTTATAAATGAAATATATAGAATTTTGAAAATTTAAAAAAATAATTTTATAATAAAAATTTTAAAATAAAACTTTAAATCTTTATTACTCTCAAGTTTTTAATATATTTAAAATTTTTCTTAACAAAGTTATTAAAAGATATTTAAAAATATATTTTTTATTTAGGAATTATATATCTAAAGTTAATATTTAGAATTTTATTTTAAAAATTTTATTTTTAAAAAATTTCAGAACAAATTTGTAAGAGAAACAGTTTAATGGATAATAATCTTTTAATTGAAATTTAATTTAATTGATAATCTGCCTATGAACTGGAGAATAGGCGAAATGAGACGTCAGCTATCTAAAACATTTTTTCTTACTAAGTTAACAATACATGCCCATTACTTGAAAATTGTAGAGCTCGTCAAGACGCATCTAATGGTGGTTAGATTATCCAAATCGGTCTAGTGGATGGCGAGATATTATCGAAATACGATTGGCCAACTATATAAAAATCTGTGATGGAAATTACATATGAAAATCACCATCGGCGAAACGTGGCGTGCTCCCATCTAAAACTTTTTTTCTTACTAAGTTAATAATACATGCCCATTAATTGAAAATTGTAAAGCTCGTTGAGATGCATCTAACGGTGTTAGATCATCAGTAGATGGTGAGATATCATCGAAAAATGATTGGCCGACTATATAAAATCTCTATGTAAACAAATATTGTTTACATAGAGATTTTACAGTGGTGGCGAAAAAGAATGCTAATTTTTTTTTAGAAGATTATATTATAAAATCAAAATCTCATCATACCTGATATTAAATATAAATAGAAATTAGTTGTTACACAATTCAAAATATATAAAAAGTGATTTTCCATATTATAAAACCTTAAATGGATTCATTCGACAAAAGGCGCACTTTGGTTAAGTTCTTGTGCGAAAATGGACATAAAAAAGTCCAAACTCTTCGAAAAGTAACTGGATTTCCTAGTACAACGTTGTATAGATGTGTTGCGGGTCTTGAACAGACAGATGAAATAAAAATTATTAAGTCTCCGGGCCACCCAGAGTATCTTAGTTCAACTCAAAAAAAAAAACTTGAAAATCTTGTGAAGAAAGAAAGGTCTGTAACCAGTAAAGAAGCAGCAGCAGCACTTAACAGTACATACCCCAGCCTTAATATCGCATCATGAACAGTTCGGGACCATCTTCAAAAACTTGGCTATAGGGTTTGTGTTCCCGTGCAGTTTTTCTTATCAGAGAAGAAACCATGCTTCGTCGAGTTGCTTGGGCGCAAAAATATGCGTGAAGAAAGTAGAATAAAACTGTTTTCTCTGATGAAGCAACTTTTCAAATATTTAGAAACACAGTGCAAGTACGTTACAAAGCTGGTGAGCAAAACCTACTCGGGTTGTTGTAAAACACCCATTCAAGATCCATGTTTGGGGTGCATTTTGTGAAAGAGGAACCATTAGATTTTATGCATTTACGGGTATTATGAATGGTGAACGGTATCGTGAGATTTTGAAGGATAATTTATTTGATCAAGCTTTTGAGATCTTAGGCAATAACTGGACGTTCCAACAGGACAATGATCCTAAGCATACGGCTAAGACTATGAAGGTTTTTTTAAACGATCGCTGTCCAAACATTCTTGACTGGCCTTCATCTTCTCCGGACCTTAACCCAATCGAAAACCTTTGGGCTATTATGAAAAGAAGGGTTGAGAAAAGAATGAACATCGAGATTCAAAAAAAAAAAAAAAAAGATCTCTCAAGAGTTTTTTAAGTTGGTAATTGAAGATGAATGGAACTGTATTGATGTTGGGTTATATTATCGATTAGTTAGTTCTGTGCCAGAACGTTTGAGATTAGTTGTTGAACAGGGTGGGCACACGATTGAATATTAAATATTCAATACTCAAATGTATAATTTTAGCTAGTTGTAGTTAAAATTTTATGAAATTTTAATAAAATTTGGGCGCGCTGCGCCACATCACATGATTACCATTCTTTCCTGCCACTCTGTATATTGTCAGCCAATCATTTTTCGACGATATCTCGCCATCCACTGAGCCAATTTGGATGATCTAACTACCGTTAGATGCGTCTCGACAAGCTCTACAATTTTCAATTAATGGGCATATGTCGTTAACTTAGTAAGAAAAAAAGTTTTAGATGGGAGCACTCCACGTTTCGCCGATGATGATTTTTATATATAATTTCCGTCACAGATTTTTATATAGTCGTCAATCGTATTTCGATGATATCGCGCCATCCACTAGGCCGATTTGGATGATCTAACCACCATTAGATGCGTCTCAACGAGCTCTACAATTTTCATTTAATGGGCATGTGTCATTAATTTAGTAAGAAAAAAAGTTTTAGATGGCTGATGTCTCATTTCGCCTATTCTCCAGTTCATAGACGAATTATCAATTAAATATAATAAATTATGCAATGTGATAATTAAGATTTCTAATTAATTCACTGACAGTCATTTCACTGATGCTCATTTAGCCAATATCACATAGGGTTAGAGTTTAGCATTTGATAGGTTATATATATATATTTTTCCTAAATTTCATCTGGAGTGATGTCAGCAAAGTGATATTAATAAAATTATACAGACTTCACAGGCCTAAACAGGCTTTTTGGAAGTTAATCTGGGCTATATCCCAAGGTGTTGACCACATGATAATTTATTATGTGACTAATACTTTGGGATGTAGCCCAAATTAACTTCCAAAAAAAGCCTATTTAGGCCCACAGGACAACTTGTTCACATCCTAGCTATAGGTGACATCTTTCATTTAGTGCTAGTGTGTGGCCAATCTTAGGATGTGACAGACAAGTATATATTATATAACAGATATAGTAAATACTTATTTGGCATATCCTGATAGTTGGTCATACCCTAGCACTAAATGAAAGGTGTCATCTATAATAGATTTAGGTTGTTCTCAAGCATCTCACTCTATAATCAATAGAGTGATCTGATTGGCTGAAAAAATAAATCATATTTAATAAAAAATCTGGAGTTAACAACCATCTTTTTTTTCATAGAATTACTCCTATTGGCTGAAATTTAAAATCCGTATTTTACACAATGAATTTTTAGTAAAATTGTTTCAGAGATTACTTTAATCAATTTCGATTAATCGAAATGATTGAGCAGCATCTTGATCACTTGCAAATTATTTTGATGGAGCTGCTTGAGAACAACCCTTAATCTGTCAAGAATATTTTGATAATATTAGGGTCGTTTAACATAATTTATGTAATAGACTTTAATATTTGCTGTATATATATGCCATAATGAAAAATGTGTGGTTATAGTAAGATCAAATTAATAAAAAATGACGTAATTAGTTCAAAGTCAAATGTTAGTAAAGAAAGTTAGCATAATTTTAAATCAAGATATAACCTGTATAACATGTGATTTAGGATTTTAAGCCACTTTATTCAATATAAAATGATACAATTTTGTAAAAGCAATAAGAAGTACATACATACAAGTTAGTAACTCGTATTCATTGATTCTCACTTTTCCAAAGCCCACTTTCCTCAAAAACTATTTATATGACATTACATAGGGTTAGAATTAGCATTTTGTTAGTTGTATATATATATTTTTAGCAAATTGTCATCTGTGTGATATTGGATAAGTGATATATTAGGGAAATAGCTTTCAGGAAATTGTACTGTAACCCTTGTATTAGGTATGTTAAAATGATCTAATGATCTGCAATATGATGCATATCATGAAGTTTAAGAGCCGAAATTTACATTTTTATTATGTTTAGCATATTAACCAATCAGTTACAAGATTTTGTGGATGTACATCATTAAAAATGCTATATAACCATTAATGATATCTGACAAATGACAAATCATTCGTCATTGACGTCTGACAAAACCATTTATTAAGCAATTTCTAATTGACGAATTGACGAATGACAAAACCTATGATGAATGATAAAACCTGTAATTATCGTTCTTTTCAATATATTGTTAAATAATCAATTCAATTTTAAGTTGAATTAGATTTAGAAATTAAGATACAGGAACATAGTGAAATAAAGTATATGGTTATATGAAGAGTTAAGTGTCAGTATGCAAATCTGTACATCTGATTGAATGTTTGTTTCTGTTCGAAATATTTTTGTACTAATTTATATATATATATCTTTACAGAATATGGCAAATTAGCAACTTTAATTCTATTTGCAATTAACTATAAAGTAACTATATAGTTACTTTATAGTTACTATAGTTTTAAAGTTACTTCAAATTAGCAATACGCCTACTACTACTTACTGCCATTTTATTACTATGTTACTATACCTTTACTACAATTTAATAAAAATAAAAAGTTTTGAAACTTTTTTTATTTTTTAAATTGTGGTAAAAGTATAGTAACGTAGTAGTAAAATAGTAGTAAAATAGTAGTAAGTAGTAGTAGGCGTATTGCTAACTTGAAGTAACTTTAAAACTGGTGTAGCAAATAATCGTATGGCCAATACTATGAAAGATGTTGCGTAGGCTACTAAAAAAGAAAAAGTGTATAGTATACTTATATGTATAATTTTTTTTAAAAAAAAAGTATATAGTATATATATATGTATAAAAAAATTTGAGTCAGTTATACCAGTTTGTATACTATTTTATATAGGCATATGAATTTTTATCGATGGCTTGTCTATGTAGTATGTGATTATAATTAATTTAATCGGGGTCGGCTAATATACTGTATTGGTTATATTTATACAATCGACAAGAAAATTAATTTAATTGATTTAGCTATGATGCAATTAGTAAATTATTTAATAATAAGTACTGGTACATAATAACAGTAACAATATATATCGATATAGATTTTATTCAAATCGAAAAAAAATTAAAAATCGCCTATCTGGCCTTTAAACAGGCTTTTACTCCAAATATTTATGTATAATGCTCTCGTTATATTTAATAATAATAAACATTACACTATAATTTTATATTATTTTCTCAAGTATATATAATATTTGCATATACTTGATATTTATTCTCTAAGATCATATTCGTGTTCTTTAATTGCATTAAAAATTCATAATTCTCTTAATTTTTCTTTATATTCTGCAATCATCAACATGTGCTCCTCATATTCTAATTTTTCCATCATCGTCATACCAGGTTCTTTAAGTTTATTATTGCTTTGAGATTCTTGTAATGTTTCATCAGTTAAATCAATTACTTTAGTTATTCATTGTTTTTTATTTTTTGTTGAATTAGCTTTAGATTTCTATTTTGCTATTTGTACAAACAAATAACATTTAATAATAATATAAACATTAAAAAAATTTTAAATTAAAATAAAAAATACTGACTGCTTTGTTTAATAGCCAATTTTTTTCATACAATACCACTTTTATCTTGACTACTTATATTAACATTGTAATTAGCTTTTATATTAATTCTTTTAAAATTGCATATATCTATTTTTTGTTCTCTAAAAAAATTAAATAATAAGTATATAATGTAAAAAAATATATATTATATTTATATAAATAAACCTTAATATTGCAGTCATTAGCTTGAGTTGCTTGCCTTCACGATTACTTATAGCATATGCTGCTTCGGCATAATTTGTGCTGTTTGGTGCCATGTGCCATAAGTTATGAGGAATTTTTGAGATATTTGGATTGAGTGATGCAATAATATATAGTTGTTTATAATATTAAACCCAGTCTATTTTATTTAATGAATTATTAGCTTATTTAAAATAATATATTAATTACAAGTTTATAAAACTTACCCATAGATTATTATCTAATGCTAATAATTCATCAAATATGTTTTTTTTCTTATTCAGCTGTCCTGCCCTTGTTTATTTGGGATCAAGTTATTCAAAATTACAAGTAATTTATCTCTAACAACAGTAGATCCAACCAAACGAAGAACTCACCCATATGATTTTATACATCAGATGTGACATGCCTCAGTAGCTCTTGGCCTCCCTCAGGGTCCTTAACTCACTAAGGACTTTTTTCTTGTTGTTCATCGGCTGGTGGCTATCCGCTCATCAAGAAGCAAAATCAGAAAAAACAAACAAACTAAAAAAAAACACAGAGGTATAGAGGACTACGATAAAA